CTGTCTGCAGCACGTTCAGTTGTAGAATTCCATGAATAGGAGAATCAGTTCCGTCTCTCGTGAAAACCAACTGATTTGCAAGTTAGTATGTTCCTCCAGAAAGATGCGGACACTCTTCCTCGGAAATGAGCTTGGTCATGCTTCCTCGCAGTCTTATTTTCAGCGGGACTAACAAATCACCCTACAGTAAAACAGTCTCATCTGCGCTGACATAATCTACCATATTTGAGCAAAGTAAGATTATTCAGAAACTTATCTCTTGAGAGCAAATAATGCTTGGGCATTATGTACCGTTTGATTTTAGAATCAAAGCCTGCATATTTCATAAGATATTTTAGATGGTGAGCGTTGGTAGTTACATAGCTATGATCCAGACTGTCGAGAAGGCGTTCAAACAACAAAATGCCGAGCCCATCCAGAGCACTACATACGTAATTGTTCCAATTGTTTTCTGGACGAGATGGTAATAGAATCAAAATTCTGTAGTGCACGTTTTGGTAATGACAAATTAGCAAATAAGTTATATGTAATATTGTAGCTCGTTTGAGTGGGCTGTTGATTTAATTCCAATACCAGCAGTGGCTGCTATCAATGGAATCACACTAATTTTATGCGTAAAATTTCTCTCACTAAGGAACATCCAGTCATCTAAAAAGATCTACGTCTAAGCAGCGACACATTGCTAGCATAACCTGGAAATGAAATGGTAACACTGCTAATGATCAACGACGAGTAACTTAGAAAAATGATATGAACCTTGAGTGACACGTCAAAAGGTCTAATACCAGATAAGTATAATTGACGGTGTCAACCGCTGGAAAATTGAAGTCCTGCCTCCCGAAATCCTATTTCATCTTCCAAGGTTTGTATTTATAACAACCCCAGGGTTCTATGGCTTGCCTGGAATTCATAAGAAAATGTTGCATTCAGACTCAATATTTATACGTGTATTTCCTGATGGCTTGCAAATTTGGGATGGATTGTAGAGAATTTAGAGCCCGTGCTTCACCATTTATGCTATCCAGACTACATTATTGTGCAATGAAGGATGTATATTTCAGTTCCAAGCCCCAGTGCTCTTTTGATTTAATCAGTTTTTCAGCCACATGTGTATTTGTGGAGACCAAATTTCATCCGTGATAACATTTGCTCACTGGATTTAAAATCCGCAGTTTAACATTATCTTGTGGAGTTTTTGCAGTTTACATTTTTAGAATTCAGATTTAACCGAACGTTTCACTGAAAGATTGAAGCTTGTGTTCTTCCTTCCCTATGAAGTGACAATTTAGTTGAACTTGGTCAACGTACTCAATTTTATCGTCTATATTTGGGTGAAAATTTATGTTTGAACCAGACAGCTCTCTAATGAGTTGGTAAACTATTTTGGCCTTTCCATTCATTTTATTCTGAAGCCGAAGGCGACAACGCCCTCTATTTCTTGGTCTTTAAGTTAGTTACATTCACACAAAATCTACTTTTCATCCTTCTGTGTACTCGCTAAAACTATGAGGATGCCACCAGTAATGCCAAACATTTGAATGCATACTCATATGGTTTTTAATAATTTATTTCTGATCTTCCTAAAGCTGTGAAGTTTTCAGAACTACTCTTGTTAATCACACTTTCATTTTGCAGAACGAAGACAATTTGCTTACCGAGTCAACCATATGCTTCACCAACAATTTGTCCCTCAGAACTTCTAATTTCTGAACAACAAACGACAGTAAATTTTCGTGCACTAAAATTGCCAAGCAATCGTCGGGCATTTACTTGAATGGTGCAAGCAAAATTTATTAGTGTACAAATCAACGTTTATGAATTTGCCACGCGATGATAGCGCAGTGTGGCGAAAAAATCTGAAGAGACCCATCAAAATATTTAAAAGAAGATACTTTGGCATGAATGCCTTTGTACTCTTTCCGCCTTGTAGACAGTTGTCCACAAAAGAACATACTGAAGCAGCTGTTTTGTTTAACAGTGACAAGCAGTGGAGATAAATTTCAAGGAGTGAGATACAGTCAGGTTGCCTTATCCTAAGGAAACGCTGTTATATAAAACACGCACACCGTATTTGACGGTATTCAGCGTAGGCTTTGATTGTACAACGCCTGAAACACCACTAGTAGTGGTAAGTTGTTTAAATATGTCATTCTCATGGCTTACTTTAAGCCGAATGATCAACTTTCAAATGCCGAACCAAAGACCCGGAAAACGAACCGATTGAACTATCTGCAAATTGCACCGAATATGTGCAACGCAGATAACATCGAGGTTAGTAAAAACATCTTCGGCCAAGATTTTTCCCTGATTTTGAAGCCGGTCTATGCTGAACAGACAAAAGCGTCTGTGCAACTCTTTCATCATTAGCAGCACGCATCTCACAAAACTCAGGTACAGCTTCGAACCGGCGGCCATCTGGCTATTTGTATGAGCACCCAACCGTTCGGTCTCGAACGGTCGGCGATTTGACCAACCCACATCGGAAGAAGTTTTGCACAAAAACTATACAGCTACAGGGTAGGAGAGAAGTACGATATATAAAACTTTATGATTCATTTATAACGGAGCATTTGATAACGAGGTTGCAAGGTTGTATAAAAGGCGACATTTTGATACGTTCCGCACGTGGAGCTGTAATTGTACCCACAAATGGCAGCGCCTAGAACGATTGTGTGGTTCACCCATATATCGTCATCCACTGTGAAACAAAATTCCAGATGAGTCATAATTTCCAGCTAACGGTCAGGCAAATCAATGAGACTAGCAACTCCCTCCAATGTAAAAAAAACTGTCTCTTTACTTGACCGTATACTGGAAATACTTTTTGGCTCAGATTGTGTTCGCATGCGTTCACTAGATAGATGCGTTCACTTAATCCGTTTGTTTTTTGCTCATATAGGATGACACACCGAAATCGAGGGTTTTTTGAAAGCAATACTAAAAGTAAGAAGAAATGACAAAGTGGCCAGTTAGGCTAGTACCTAGAATGAGTTTGTGAATTACTTTAAATCCTTGGATTAGCGATAAACTCAGATAAAACGACTATACTCTGCTGTTGACTGTTAAGGCAAGCGCAGCCAGTTTTATTAAAACAGCACACCTTAACTTTTACCGTGAAGTTTATCGCCTATCAACCCATTTCTTGCCTTTGCTGATCAAAACAGCTTTTTCACCGCATGAATTTTTGATGTTGAGCCGGAAATATAAAAAATCCGCCACTGCTGATGTATGATATCCATCGACATTCGATAGTATCAACAGGACATAGCAAATGTTTTTCTATTCTCTGGTTTTGTTTGTCGAAGGAAGTTGACTTGACAATTGTCTCGTGCACTTTATTTTGCCGACTCTATTTCAAAGTATATTGCATCACCCATCAGCGTGTAATTTTCTGTCAAATGTTTTAGTTCTCTGAAGATAGACGCTTTAGGTTAACTTCAAAAAAGAGTATCTTAACAATCTAAAAGTTGCCCTTTATAGTTTTTGGCAGAGTCACTTTGTAAAATCCCTCCTAATCGAGCTAGAATTTCGTACACACTGTTACTAATCAGCGAAAAATTATATTTATTAGCACTATAGACAGATCGAGTTTCAGCTCAGAGCCTCACTTAAGTGATCTCCATATCCTTTTTTCCCGAAAAAGTCTATATCCGAAATAAGAACATCTTAGTTTATACGACGTCAAACTAAGACTACAAAGATGAGCTTCGTTCCCGAAAACATCACCAGAGGTTTTTTGAAAAAGCATTTATACATTATTACAACGAGATCTGTGAACTGCATTTCCTTATGTTCAACCGCTAGATACTTTTTCTAATAACTGCTCATACTGAAATAATCCGGGGTCTGAAGGCGAATACTTAGCGGTTGAGTGCCCATAAAAAAGCACGAAATGATTACAAAAGCGGTCTTTTGAAATCCATTCTAAGGTTTACTGTGGTCTTTATGAAAAGTGTCTTCATTGGGAGCATTCCACTTAGACGTAAACGGTTGTATCTAATAATGATATATGATCAGTTGCACGGGCTTACCGTGGCAAACATACCAGCATATACTATCCTCAAACGATACATTGTACTCTAATTTTGTCATTGTTTTCGAGGAGCTGCCGCCACAATAACTCACAAGGTTTCTATATTTCTATATTACACAACTTTGAGAAAGCTCGCGATGCTAACGCAAATTTCGCAGAAATTTGATTGTTTCATTCAAGTGAATTACGCTAATCATGATAAAATTAATCACTAATCCTTTTTTCAAATACAACAGCGCTCCATTTGTGGGAAGCAACACATTTTCACGTTAGAATTGGTCCTCTGAAAACGTCCTTAGTGATGAGGATTTTAGTACGACTGAGCTTACTTTACATATGCCAGAAAAACTTTGGTCGGGTTTAAGACGTTCCGAGAGTACTTGTTAGGCTAGGCAGTATTTACGATTTCATTGCACGATAAGTGCAAAGGACACATTGTGTAATAGAATTTAGTAATAACATACAGAAAGGTTTTGTTCTCAAACACTCTGGGTGCTTTTTCGACTGAGTAATTTCGAGGAATCCAATAGACATCACAGAATAGCCTGACGTTAAATCTAGGTCTTGGAGTAAAAGGAACCAACTTTCCAAAGCAGATTTACGGGCAAGGTACTTAGTTAGGTAAAACGAACAGCTGTCACAGATTTTAAAAGAAAATACCGCAGTTTATCCGGCTATCTAAAAATTACTTTTGGTGGATAATACGATTTTTGGCTTTTTTCCAAAAGCGCGGTGGTATGCAGTGACTGTAGGGATTGCTACCGCAAATATGCCGACATTTTTGTTGCTCACTTTCACTTAATCCCCGGTTACTTTAATGTGACTTTCAATCGGTCTTTTCGGTGACGCTTATGAATGCTTATAATCAGTGTGTCTATGGCACTGACAAACAATCCTGAGAATATTACAGAACATGTTAAAACGCCGAAAACTTTTGATTTAGTTTAGTGAAGTTGTGCTATGTATTGTGAGCCATGTGAAGGAAAATAGGTGCACTTCGGATTTGTACATGAACTAAACTCAAAAGAATGTAGGTACACAATGTGTCTTTTTCTGTCACCATAAATCACGTCTATTTGATCCATGAAAATGATGAAGGGTTTCCAGACGCTGTCGCACACGTTGATGTAATCTGATTGCCTGAAATTGAATGGAAGAATGAAAGACCATACGAACTGCGGTTAGATTTCAAAATATATATAGCGTTTACGAAAACCAACGGCACCATATGAACAAAGATTAGGCATCAAAATTTAGTTATCTGTCATGCATTCTCTGCTGAATTTTTAAAGGGAAAAACAGAAAATTTCGGTGATCTTGTGAAAGCCTCTTTTAGATCAGTCATCATGCCTCATCGAAGACGTTAATTATCCGCCCTGGTCATTTTTGTATAAACACCCAGATTTTCTTCTCTATGGGTCCCCCTTGTTCAATATGTATTGTTGATATTTTGCTGAAGTGCAAATTAGCATCTTTGACGATGACCTATCTAAAGAGACTTCCGAGTAGCGAAAATAAACCACTTTCCTACATTTAAAAGTGTGAGTTAACAACGAATTAAATCAATACAGTGTACATTTTCTGGTTGGTTGTTTTAATAACGGATCAGCTTATAAAGAAACTACAACAAGAACAGGATACATTGAGAAGAATTGGACAGTTTGCTGGTCATCTAGACCCGTTTATCGACGAAAGTCTTCAATAAAGCCACTGGATATAGTAGCCGAAAAGGGCTCTTTTCTTCTGTATGCCGTGCAAAGTAGTTCCAGTGTAAACGACTAAGCAATGCCGAAATTTGCATCAGAAGCATTCCGATTACTACCACGTTTCACAAACCGACGGTTTACCACCGCAAGCAACCTTAACAAGTGCCCATCCGATGTAGCCCACAACTCAGGACCTCTCAGGAGTGGCTTATACGCTCCTGCATTATATGCATCGGTTAAATGATTGAGAGTGGAAGATGTGTCCGCGAAGCAGGACAGTTCAGCTGCGAGTGCTGTATTACCCGTTGAGACTGAATCACTAGTGCGTTGTCAGGTAGAGTGTGTTACGGGCGAATATGTGTAGGTGATGTGCAAACACTGAGTGATACAGAGCCTACGCGCCCCCATCGAATGCTTATTGGTGGTTGCACTGTGTACTCCTTTTAGCCGCTGACCAACCAACTTCCCAATTAAGGACTGTCCTCAGAGCTAACCTTTCTGGTTTTTTGCGGTTGTGAATTCCGATGCGCTCATTATGTACGGTTGGAATATCCGCTTGGTTATTTAGCCTAGCTGTTCTGGTTGCTATCCAGGCATCTTTTTCAGAGCGCCCAATAGAATTTTCTCAGATATTTGCTGTTTGGAAATGTAACCTGAAGTAGATTTCATTGTACAGCAATGTGTCTCTGCTCCTCCTATGAGAGGAGCAGAGCTGATAATGGTTGTTGTGATAACCTAGTTTTGATGTAAGTCTTATTCCAATATAGAAGCTTTTTAATGTTTCTGTCCGTAGTTCCGCACGCCGGTGCGTCGAACATGCTATTTGATTCTCTCCAATTTGAAATGTATATTTCATGTTTTCATCATCAGCTGTACTAGCCCTACAGCGATTTTATCTGCAGCAGTCCCTTTCACTAATGATTTGGGGAGATAAGTAGATAGCTGTGCGTTGGTGGTAGTAGCTGGTATAGCTGATACATAAATACAGAGTTGTCAGTGGACTTTTTGTTGGGGAGATTGGGATGGGAACTATGCGTTGTGGGCAATAGTTTGGATGCGCTGGCGTTATTGTCTACGCGACTGGGACATTTATGACCATATCTAACCATTGATATGTCCCATCTCGACGTTCTCATCCAGGTTGACGGCAATGTTCAGCGCAGCCGAGTTTGCCAGTAGTGTCAAGTCATTGTTTTGCCTCCCGGCTAGTTTCCACCCTTTGCATTATTGTGCAAGAAGAGCCATTCGATTAAGTCAGTCGAGTTGAATTTGGAGCACGTGACCAGCACAGCCTATGGAGTATGATCAGTTTATCTGTCACAGGCGAGTTGTTTATTCAGTTTTAGTCAGTTGTCACGCTGAGCTGTTCATGCACATTCGCTATTGCAGTTAGTCTTACGCTAGCTAAAGTTTCATTCGCGTAGCTTATTCAGATCTTCGGCTTGAGGACAGGTGGTTTCTGTAACACATCTTAGCCGATTAGTCCAAAAATTTGCTATCTTATTGAAAGCTCTATTTCAGTTATCTGTAAGTTCATACTTCAGTTTTAAACCATGACAAATAGTTCCCGGTTTCGTTGTTCCTGTTCTGTGCTCCTCACTTTCCATTGTGATTCTCCTGGTTGTAATAAATTCTTCGGATGCCGTGCCTACACACAAACTAAGGCCGCACATGTAAAGCCACATTCATTCATTCCTTTGGAACATACAAGTATAGTTTAGGCAAACCAGCTTAACTGGCCTTTATATCTCAATATACCAAGTGTGTGTTCGAGTTGTATGTCAGCTACAGCTGATTGAAGCCTTTTTATTTTACAAACAGGTAAGTCAAACGAGGTTTACTATTCATGGTTTTTTATTGTAGTACGTATATGTCCCTTAAATTTCCTATATGAATGCGAATCTGCTTGACCGGGATGTGATTATCTGCAAAGAACCGCCATATTCAATTTTTTTGGTGTACCAAAACAATTTTATTCAAGTCCCAGAAATCACATCCTTCCATCATTCAAAAAATATATAATTTTTATCCGTCGCTCACTTATTTTGCATCAACGAGGTGGTAGTGAGTTCAGCTGCTCCCTCAATCGTTTATCACTATTTATTGTTCCTGTCATTGTTTCTGAGTCCAGTGTGGTAAAATAATCGCTCGTGGTTGACCAGCTAATCGCTAGTCCCGTTTGTTTATCGCAGTCAGGTGTAAAGTTTCAGCTAATAGAATTTGTCTCAAAATAAAACGATGCATAACCACATTAAAGGAAAGCAGTATTTATACTGCCGATGTCATTGTTGTTTTAGTATTAAATTTGCCCAGCATAGTCGGAGTATTCTATTCTTCAGTTTCTAATTTAGTAAAAAGATATTATTAAACATAAATAGGACTATGTAGCCGAGGCAATTATGGATGGCCCAGGTTGTAATGACGTCCTAACCTTTCAGACAAACGTTCCACCGACTTACTCGGTCCAGATCTCGCTTGGCTCCCAGTAACTCGTTGTGTACAGCCTCTTTGGATTTTGGGAAGGGAGCAATAAACCGTTCCGCAACAGTTTCTGTGTGTTCTTTCACTTGCTTTGCAAGTCTTTTGTCCCGCTCCACACTGAATGGATAAATATAGGTGAATTAGTTTACCATTCGCCCTAGGCATCCTACACGTACTTGTGAACTCCTTCCGAATCACAATTTGAGCAGCTAGTAACCAGTTCATCATGACATGCGGAACTTTTGTTAGAAGCTACTACAGCTTGCTTTGCTCCCTTCAGACACCATTTTCACAACATCAGCGTTCAACACATGTGCTTTAAATATGAGAGTTTGGGGTATGTGATGTCGGAGGTAGGAAATCATCTGTTCAGAAATGGAGAAATTTCACAATCCACACCAGCCTTTCAAGCAATAAATCACCGGGTCGAGGAGGCATCCAGCACGTGATCACGTGCTATATTTTGCTTGACTGAAGGATGGCTGGCACTGCATCACATATAAGTCCCAATTAATCACACCGCTGATCAGCTACTCCTGGCCAAGGAACACAACGCTCACATACGTGCCGGGGAATCCTCTCAAAGTTTGGCTAGTTCACGCCATTGCCGCTGAACAAAGACAAATGGCTGTTTGGCCATTACGCGTGGTAAGGCACCGCAATAACTAAGAAACGATACGCATCTCTGATGGAAGTGACTTTCGGATTTCCAAAATAATGGCTCAAAAAATATGCTTACTTTGACCTTCGTGCTCCAGCCAAAGAATGTTGAAAATGGAAAGCATAAACAGTTAATTGGCGGAAAACCACGTAGGCTTCAGGATAGTCATAGGTGGGTTGTTTAATGTGCTAGGAAGAATGAGTTGCATTAGGCATTCAACAGATGAAGTTGTTCTATCCTGATTCCAACAAATTCTCTCTGGTATACTAAAGCGAATATTCTTTCGAATCCGAACGATATTACTTTGTGCCTTGGATGAGCAACTGATTGTTTGCCTAAAACAATTCAATATGTTTTCCGGTAAAAAGGGAAAAATGACGAAGGTACACCGTATTGTGGGAACCCCGAGGTAACTATTTTAACTATTGTAAGCCAGTAAGAAAATGAAAAATGTGTGCTGACTGACAACGTTTTCGGCGTATGTACCCACTCAGTGCAGCTTCTGTTTACATGATATATATATATATATTGGCCGTTGGACAGTTTTATTCATACATATATATGCTAACGTTTCTACCGTGGTGAAGGGGAACATCGGAGCCTCCACCTCTTAAAGGTGCACGTCTATCGTCCAACACACAGGTCAGTATAACGAGCAGTAAAAAGGGAGGCTTGGGCTGCGCAGTGAACAAATTTTTGCAAATTAATCTCATTGAGGCAAAAAGCGTATCCAGTTTTGCCCCTTTTCTTTGAAAGATAAAAACTGAGGAAGTGTAGTAGAAATATACAACAAACTTCAGCAGAACAGCTGTTTAGAAGGATTACTTGATGGAAGTACCAAATAGCTTCCATAGGTGGTTGGCAAATCAGCAGCGTTAAAGTCAGGTACAGGCCCTTAGCTTGACTTCCGAAAGGGACTCAGGTACTAAACTTTCATGGGAACTTGACAGTAGGATCCAAATACCTTTGTAACAGATTGCGCTGTATCTTCATCAAGCTTTGGAAAACGATGATATTTTTCAGTCACGGTGTAGGCAATCTGAGCATGTTTTCTAGGAAAAATCAACCGGTACGAGCGTACGTATCGCCGAGTATCGACATGCTATTAACGTCAGGTTTTGAACGAACGCAATGCTCGTCGAGCCAAGAGTGTGGTAAGAATATGTACATACTGGTGGTGAAAACGGTACGCACATATGAGGTTACTGACTTTTCCATACCTCTTGTCAGATGCATAAAATTATCAAACAAACGCAGCCAAACTTGCCTGGCCATTTCTAATTGTAACGTTACATGAGGGTCAAGTGGTTCCGGCTTTGGGGAGGGTCGAATGGTTTTCTGACGAATTGTATGCAGATCATTCGAACCAATCACTTTTAAATCCGCCTCACCAACATCAAACGGAGCGCTTAACATACGAATGGACGATTCTGAAACCAGGAGGGGAAGCTAAGTTTTGAAACTGAGAATATGGTTTACTGGTCAAGATTCAGTATGCAGAAAGAATAGTTTTAAACACCAATGTAGTTTTTCTAGTTCTGGGCATTTATACTGGGTCGGTTGAGGAAATGGGTATGCACAAAATTCAGTTGTCTTTGTACGGTTACAATCTTGATCATATTGAGCCTGTTCTCACGTTATTCTAATCAACCTAAAAAGGAGAATCTGCACGTAAACCCCAAAATAATAATTACTGTTCTAGATTGTCTAAGCGTTTTCGTCAAATGTGTGTACAGATCCAAAACGTTTTGCACTTTTGAAGAGTGCAAACAACATCGGGTGCGTAATGTACTGCTGCATTTGGTTGCAATATGTCAACCAGAAAACATCATGAGGAATATGAGTGATCAGAATCCTGCGTAGGTGCCTTGAGGGTGCCCTTGGTTAGTAGCAAAATGGCTTCTCAAATTGCGAGTATTCAGTAATCCCTCTACTGGTGTCACGGCTTTTCGCCTGTTAAGATAGAGTCTTTGCTATCCTCCTCACACTAGACTGAAATATTTGAAAGTTTTGAAAGCTAATTGGCTATGTCAACGGTGTTTTAGTCCTCAGGTTTGATCCTGGTCACATAAATGTTTTGTGGTTCAAAGATCACCGAGTTTCGTCGCAGGTAAACGAAAGATTCACCTTTCTTTCCTGTTTCGGTCTATTATCCTGTTTTGAATTTAATTAAGCAACTCTAAAAGGCATGCGATTTTCAAATGATTTGTGAGACTAATAACCCTGCAACAAATCGTAAGCATACGTAATTATGATAAATTGCACTGTCCAAACCGAGGTGAGAACCAAAACGTTGTTCATTTCAGTGCATAAATAAGACAGCAGCGCCTACCATTCAAGTGATATCATGTGGGCTAAACAGACGCTAAAAACTGAAGGATTCCACAGGGAGCCAAGAAATGAAAAACGGCACACGCATGACGGTTCAGAAATGCCTACTTCAGTCGCTTGATCTTCCTGTTACCCATATGAACTTCCCGTTAAGCTATGCTTGTGATAACGGCAGAAGAGCAACTCTTTCAGGATTAGTGCGGGATAACGAGCAGGTTTTTAGATAAATCCTGGTAGACCGGAAATTCGTTTTTGCATTAGTCCTGGGGGTATTTTCAGCACAGATTATGAGGCTTCAGGCATTGGACAGCACCAGACTTGACAAGGAAAGCAAGGGTTCCAGTTTTGCATACAAATAGGATTAAGGCTGCGAAATCGCCGGTGCTTCAGCAAAGTTTAATAACCAGATGTTGTTTTGACAATTCATGACTCTGAAGGACTATCCCCGTTTTTTCACTCGTGGCAAAAAATGGCTGTAGTTTGAGTTTTATAGAATTTCCGAGACCATAGTCGGCATTTCTTCAGCGATGTGATCATAATTTTCTTGTAGAGAACCGTCTTTTAGTTCTTCGGAGGGATCCCCTAATTGAAATTCACTAAAACAAGTGCAAACAGAAGGCAACCAAAGATTTAGCAAGTTAAGTTATTTTTTCATCGTTCTCACTGTTCTTTTTTAGAAGAGTTGAAGAAACAGCCTTGAATGCTATTGAGAGGTTTCTCATGAACAATTTGCAAGACTGTCTTCTATTTTGGTTTAGTTTGAACAGTAGTGTAATGAAAACTGATCCAAATTTGTGTCCATCCCATCCTTACCTCAGTAAACCCCCTTGTGAACGATGCCTATAGCCCCGGTTCTTATACTGAAACTTGCTGCTCATTCACTGTAGCCTAAAACCACGTCTGTTGTGCCCCTGTGACGCTGCTTTCCTGGTTCGTTTAGATGACTAAGACAGGCAAAGCAAAGAGATTTAGGCTCTCCTATTATGTCTTTTCCTACTTTGATGGTGTCCTGAACTGTTCATCTTATGAGTGGGTTAAGTCTGCTTGCGTGGATTTACGGCTGGATGTATGGGAAACCAAATTTGTGTCCATCCCATCCTTACCTCAGTAAACCCCCTTGTGAACGATGCCTATAGCCCCGGTTCTTATACTGAAACTTGCTGCTCATTCACTGTAGCCTAAAACCACGTCTGTTGTGCCCCTGTGACGCTGCTTTCCTGGTTCGTTTAGATGACTAAGACAGGCAAAGCAAAGAGATTTAGGCTCTCCTATTATGTCTTTTCCTACTTTGATGGTGTAAATTATTTACTACGTGAAATGGTAAAACAGCGAGAACTTGCTGACTGCAGTCATTCACATTTTTGGCGCATAATCAATCATTTCATATGTTGGCAGTTAGGGAACCGGTGATGAATAAGCGTAGAGAGCCAGATTTAGACACACAATATAATCACTCTAAATAATGCCCTAATTATGACCTCTAGCAACCCCCGTATTTACATGGGTTTATTCAGCACTGCTATCGTCATGGTCTCACTTTTTGTGGGCAAATCTTATTTAAACTCTGGTGGGTAGAAAGAGGACATTTTTAACTGTGCTTCAGTTATGTAGCCGATCTGTCGATAAGCCATGAAGCACCATATAGATGTTTTCTCCTTTCTATGATTCAACAACTGTGTCCATCTTAACGAACCTCCATAGAGTTTTAAAGCTAGCGAATTACCAACTAGTAATCAAAGACTAAACCCTCCGACTATTAGTGGATGTCCAGTTGTGTGATTAACTGCCACCTAGGACGTTTGTTGGATACATGTTACTGGTACCTCCGAACAAGAATGGGACAACTGAACAGTGCTTCTCAGATTTTGGGCGTTGTTACGTGTCAGGTGCAGGACAGGATCCCGAAGAAAACTTTTGAAGAGGACGTCTTGAAGCTTCCCGACTTCCATCTTTTCAACTCGTCCTCAGTGACTGAACAAGCTCCATCAAATCCTCGTCTTCTTGTTAGCTTTGACTATAGCAAGTTTCAAATTACTGTCCAGTCAGTTTTAGTAGCTTCATTTCAGATAATAACCTAACTGTCTAAATTATACGAATCTTTGGTCTGTATGAAACACTTGTAGACTTGAACTTACTCTGTCAGTTCTCCATAAGTGAATCTCCGTGTCCGCATCAGGCATTTTTTACCTTAAAGGAACCCTTTTTTGTGAAAAGTAGATAATGGCCATAGCAAAAGCATCTCACTTGCTTCAAATCTGTGTATTGAACATTCGCATTCGTTGTATAAACTGCTATCACTCGAAAGTATATTAGTAAGGGTGTTGGTAACATTTTTTTACAACTTCAGACGTTTTTGGCAGAACTCATATCTGGTAACTTTTTTACTCTAATTTATACACACAAACCGTATACGTATTTAGGTTTAATCAGACAATGTTCTTTTTTGTCTACCTCATAAGCTGCTTTCCGCACACCTATAATACAAATAATGGCACTTGAAATTTACCCGCATAAAAAAGTTTTACGGTGTGACGGAAGATATAAAATACGGTTAGTTGCTGCGTTTCAGTTGGACCATGGACCACGCTACATTGCCAATAAATTTTGCAGGCCTAAAATCAATTTTAGGAAATGGCTTATGACCTTGCTCCACCTCTGGTTTTCCACGTCTTTACTATGCAACTAGGGCCAAACAATGCATAGTGTCTGTCAAATACCATATCTGTGTTCGATTATGGACGGCATTTTCGACTTTTGGCATCATTTTCGTTGTTTCGGAAATCTGCTGCGTTCAGTATACCATCAATTTACATTATTATTTGGTGAAAATATCAAATCTTGCTAGTATTAACCAAAGAACGTGCACTCGAAAGGCCGTCTTAAAAGCAAAACATCAGACGTCAAAATGTAAATTTTGGATGTTTAAAAGATGAACGTGAAAGCCAGAAAAAACTGAGTCACCCAAATTTGGAAAGGAAAAGAGAGTTATGTATGCTCAGAAATATTACTTGGAATTTTGAATCCAAGGTGGGTAGATTATGCGTGTGAAACCTGCGTGATATTACTCAGAGAACTTTTACCACTGCTATTCAGCTGCAGTCATCCCCTTCTTTTAAGACGGTTTGGACACTGATGGGTTTCAAAGCACTTTTGAGGTTCTGTTAATCCAGCTGATGAACTTCGTGTAGTGTTCCGAACCACCCCTTAAAGCGGTGAACACATATGCAACGTCTGCCAATGAGAAAAATCATTTTGCTTTAAGCATCTCATTTTCCGGAGGCTTCTTGGTTTGACTTGAGCACCGTACGGGACGCTAAGTGGAAAGAGGACCAGTGTAGTGAGGTCTTGTTAAAACGTTAAAATTACTTCTGGGGTGCTACGCGATGCTGAGGTTCGTTGGAGGCCAGTATGTTTGAACTATGAGGAAAGTTTTCCACCCTTGTGTATGTGGTCTGATTTCGCTTATTCCCTCGCTGTTGTCCTCAGCAAAGGTTACAATTTGTCTTCGTCGGCCCATTATGGTAGACAGAGCTTTTGGGGTTTTGATTAAGGTGACTTCTACCCTCCGATAACTCGTTCTATTGCATTACGTAAACTAGGGTCGCATAAACAGCAAACACTCTGTATTTATGATCCTAGGATCAAGTATTCGTTGACCAAGTTGAAAATTACGACCGGCCGAGTCATCTGAGCTTGCCCCAAGGTGAAACCTGCAATATAAGAAACCAATCTGATTGGTGTTTGAAAGAATTTCCTAAAAAATCTTGTGAATTTCCTATAGTTTGCTCTAAACCTGGCACGACTTCAAAATGGAAACCTGAGGTGTTAACTGTACCCGTCATCAGAACATTTAGTAGTCAGTGCGAGTTACTTCCTAGAGACAGTGCCCTTTAGTTCACTCATGATTTTTCGCTCTGCTACTGACGCTGCAACCAACACGGAATACGTAACATATTGCAATAGCAGGACTTTAGCTTATTTAAAATCCAAAGCAATTTTTGGAACCTATTCATTTTATGTCGGAAACTTTTTGACTGATTTTTACTGAACAATAGGGTTTTTATTAGGATCCTAGTATATCGAGTACATGGACCAGTAGGGCTGGGTGATAGCAAAAAAATGAATCAGCAATAAATCAGGTCAACCTAATGTGACAACATACCGTTCTTAATTTCTTGTTCATTCTTCTGTAAATACTCCCAAATCTTTTGTCTTTGTTTGTCTAGATACTCTTGTCTCCAGGATCGAATCCTTTCTGCGTCTCTGAAAAGGAAGAAGGTTGGTATTGGAAGACCTTTCATCTTTAGGATTCCGCTATGAATAACCAATCTCACTACTGAGTTGACATATGCCCATGACAAGAGATTTGCATTTTTTCTTGGATAAGGACGTTCTTCACCTACCAAGATCCTTAGATGTCATTGCAGTGAAATGGCACTACCAGTCTCAGTTCCCTAAACATAAAATACCCTCAAATAACTGGTTTTCATGGTATTTTCGTCACGAACTTTGCACACCAACAAAAGAGATATGTGTGAACGCAATACTTGATGTGATGTGGACTCAGATGTTTGTGCAGCTTTCTGCCAAGACATAGATTATAGTAAACAGTTTCAAAAGGGAATACCGTTGTTTACAATTGCTCACTTCCCTTGCTGCCAATCTGATTCTCTTTCCTTAATTTTTCCGTTTAAACGTTTTCCTTTTAATCTCGCGCTTGCACTCTCCGACGGAGTTCCTCGTTTTTTCTCAACAACGATAGACAACGGTGAAAAACACCAACCTGGGATTTTAGTTGACAATGATTGTGACAGAAAAACTCTCAGCTTCTGCAATTTTTTGGACGAAGAAATGCGGTAGGTCGCCTCAAAATTGGCAACAAAATTTTCTATTCTACTAAACGTATGTGTAATTTCCAAAATCCTACTACCCAGTAATGAAATTTTTGGGGTAGACAAGGTTTTGAAGTCTACTTTGGATTTTAATCGCTTAAGACGGAGAAGATAACGCTTCCGAGGCCGTCTGTAAGATGAACTGTGATTGTTATACTGAGATGTTTTCTTGAACCAATAACACCTTAATGTGACTTTTCAACCCCCACAGGAACATAATCTCCGCACAAACTGCACCTGCTAAACGACGTTTCTTAGGCAACGCAACGACAAACCGAACCATATCCAAGCCTGAACGAGCACGCGGTGTCACTAGTATACAGAGCCAAAGCACAGGCTAGTCACATCGGATCGGCAGTTTATCTCTGGATCACAACAATCCAACAACATGCTGCAGAACCTAAGGAAGGCTTTATATGGCTTATGTTCAGTGGACTGCAAAAACTGTTCATAACATCTGTCCATAGCACGTGAAAAACTGGATGATAACATCTTATTTCACTACGCTCCGCATTGGTTTGAAATATTCTGTAGAACTCTGTGGATCATGGACAGATTTATCTTACTAAAGATGATTCCAGGATAAGACAAATGGAAGTGTACTTGAATGAGTCTTGCCTATAGGGGCGAAGTTATTAACAGACCATCAAAATCCTCTTTTCATGGGTCCAAGTGCACTTTTAAACCCAGATCGTTAGACATCCTTCAGTCTTTGTGGCTCATTTCCTGCGTGATTTGTTGATAGTGTGAAGGTATCACTTCCAAAAAACTGAGCCTATTAGAGAGAAATCAGTGAATATCAACTCGGCCGTCAATGTGCTGAAAACAAACTTTAATTTTTGAACTGCGGTTTGGCGCGTTGCCAGAATCTTTTGACGAAATTTCCTTTTCTTTTCATCCATGTGGCGTGTCCGAATTTGCTTGAGTGACGGCATGGATGGTTCATCCGGGAGCAATGCTTCGTGTCTGGCCGACTGCGAAGGATAGACAGCGAATGCATTTTTCCTGGAAATGTATAACATTATTGTAATATTTTGCGCAAACGACAATAAGTGACATCATAACCCAAACTACTACCCAGTATGAAGTAGTTTTAATTTCTCATCACATTATATAAAACAGTTGATTACAGGTTGATCACAACAGATCAGTAAGGTTGTCTGTCTGTTCTTAGCTTATAATCAGGGCATAGGCTCCAGCTTTTAGGCGATATCCTTCCTTTGAAAAATCGCAAATTCCAACATCATTTTTACTTCGCATGTCGGTTTTCCCCAAATAGAAACATGTTAAATTTTAAACAGTCATTACCTTAAACTATATAGACCAGGTTGGTCGCTCAACAAACTCCAACCAGAGCGTCCAGGAGCGTACGCAGACGTACAATGAAGGCAACAATTATTTCCCGAGAACCGTGCCAGCTTCAGTTAGCACAAACGGTGTACCATTTATTCATGGTTGTGTTAATAGTGACTTTGGTATGCTACCATTCTTAGTATCTGGCAACCCTTAACTGCTTAGCGATTTACATCATTACGCCTCTTCATGTCAGTTGATTATGGAGTGCGTAGGCCACGGGATATAGTGCTCGTATAATTCAAAGCAAAATCCGTGCTCAAAACGAGTAGAAAGAATAAATGGAAACATGTGCCAAATGCTTCAAAAAGACCTAACTAGCCGGCGAAAATAGCTGAGGAGGGTGTTATCATTTCTAACAAGTATGAAGAAATCGTACCTTTCAGTAAAATCTAACATGCACATCAGATAACCCTATGTTGTGTGGCCACTAGTAACGGGTTAGTGATGTGAATGTGTCATACTCCTCGTAATAGTCTGAACAAGTATAACTGACTTCTAGGGAAGCCGAAAATAGTTTCCATTTTTGTTCGGGAAAATTTAAAAGAATAGTGTATTTCTGTACCTCCAAATAACCTGAAGGACTGAACATTGCATCACACTGAGAACGAAATGAGTAGAAAATAGAACCGGAACATATACGACGGTTATGTATAACTGCAAGCATCCTAATTTTTTTACGTCCGCGTTAAACTACCAATGTTACTAGTGCACTAGTTATGGTAGGTTTCGAAATAAACATTTTTAAAACTTCTACTACATACAAAAATAAGTATCGAAGATGTCCAAAGAGTTTTTCTATTTGAAGTTGTACTACCTGTGTTCCATAGTTGTGGTACACAAAAGCAATATCAAACGGCAATTCTGAATACAGACGGCATTAAATTGCAGGGCAACTTGTTATGGAGTTAAGAAGAACACAGATATTATGGAACATAGTGTGCTGCTCTGGATTATGGCCGTGAGACTGGAACACATCAAATCGACCGGTGAATACATCTGCCATTAGAACAGTATCGTTCCAAAACCGCAGCATTTGTTGTCCAAAAGGCCCTTCATCCAGTAAAATGCACCAAACTGTGAGTTAAACGCTACTCCCATGTGTGAGCCAGTTTACTTTTGAATAACGAGGGTCTTATTCCCAATTTAAGTGGTAAAAAAGTTAACGTAACCTCAAGATTTGACTGATCTGTAAAAAATTGAAGTTACTGGTAATGCTAGATCTGTTTTGCTCGCTACTATTGGTCAGGCCTGCCTTTGCCTGGGTGTGCTAACCCGGTACAGGTCGAGAGTGAACGGGATCCAATAGATTTGTAGCAGTTTCTGCAAAAATTTCTGTTCTACTAATTGTAACCTAACAAGATTAATTACACATTTACATTGAATCTTGATTTCAAAGCGTATAGAGTCCAACAACAGTGAAAAGGTCTGGAGATTTCGTCCTGAATGCTTTTTTTGTGCAAATATATGACGGTTCCAACACAAAGTACCTACCACGATGGTAGTATTAAATGAGGGCCTTACGTTAAGCAGCCGCGCGAAAACGAATGAATTCGAAAAGTAAAATGCATCATTTTACAAATATTAGCTCTAAGGGAACTCAAAACATGATGGGTTGATCTAAGTCGGACAGTCCAATTGAGATTACGGCAAAGGAAATGCATGCTTTTCAGTAAGCAAAATGTTTGCTTAGGTCTGCTTTGGTCTCACCTTAGGTCTGCAGACAAAAACACTTGGTGCGTGAAACAAAAATCTTCATGGATAAGCTGTCACAGGCCAAAATATTGTTAAAAAGTTCAGCGAACACTTATCTGTTGTGGGGCCACTTTACTGCCGGTAAGATTTTAAGCTGAAGAATCGAGCAAGAAAATACGAAGTGATCAAATTCTCCACAACCAGATCAATAAATCTTCAGAAAAATTGAGTGACTGTTAATTTGATGCTTCGTGCTTTCACATTTACGGGAGCTGACCAAGTCGAACGGATGCGTGAATTTTTTTCGCTTACCGCTCTTAATAAAAAGTAAGTGTTCAACAAGCTTTACTGAATGCACGCGCAAACAGCATTTTATGAGCAGGCACTATAAAGCTATAATTTATTGCCCAGGCGTTTAATCATGCCTGTGAGATGTAACAATTTGCTGATGCCATAAGCACTTTGGCGCAAACCTTTAAATTCCATTACTAGTCCGTTAGAAGCAAAGTTATTAGTGATAGGAAGAATGCATGGTAAAAGAAGAGATTGGTAAAAATATTAAATGACATAAGTTGCATATACCTTGTAACTATGCTTTTTCAGAGGTTTGTCAGATTGTTTTGTTTGCAGTTTTTAATAGAAAAACATTCTATCAGATTAATTTGCACGTTCCAGGTCACCTAGGCCAAACAAATATCTAATTGGTCTCCCACACCTTTCATTCTAATGCTCACCCAATCGGTTTTCTTGTTCTTCTACTGCGAAAATACGCGCTTTCTACTTTTCGATACACGTGTGACTTTGATTCCAAAGGATTTGGGGGTGGATCCGAATCATCTTCTGTTGTCACGTTTTTTTGGCCTTCCAAGTTCAGGTCGGTCATAAGTTTGGCCAGACAGTTAGCATCACCACATCCAGTCGACCCAAATGATTCTTCGTTCCTTTCGTCGCCTTCACGTAAAACCATATTTTTAGAACCATCCTCCACGTTCTGCTTATCCTTGGAACCGACTTCATTGTCTGCGTTCAAAGCAAATTGTTTCACTCCATCAATTTTGTCTACAGAATCATCCAGGTTCTTTGAAGCGGCACTGTCTCCATTGGTGGAATCCAAGACTGTTTCGTAGAAATTGAAGTTTGAGTTCGGCCGATCTTGTTCATCAGCGATTCCTCTGTGCGAAGTTTGTCCTAGACGGGTGTGCGAAATTATGACTGTTAGGCTTTTCAGTTTGTTTTAAGATGGGCTACCCACTTGTTGACTTAAGAATGGCTCAACTCCTCATGATATCTTACTTCGTTATGGTTACCATACTTGGAGGAGCAACAGTAGTTCAACCTTTGTACCCCTGAAGTGGTGATAATTGAGGGTTAGATCAGAATCTGTTGTCAGCTTATTTACTGTCTCGTTTTTACTAGAAATCTTCGAGATGCGTAAGTGTCTAAAATATTATTACATTTGAAGTCCAGGACATAACTTCCTAAGTGGTCGCTATCTGCTATCTAATATGAAGCTTTTGGTAGAACCCTATGAACATGCGCAGTAAAAGATCATCGTGAACACCAAGGTGACCATGCTGGTTACAGTGATGATGATTATGGTGTATAAGATAACAGTGAGGCTTTTGCTGGTCAAGTGTCCTTTTTACTCTGCCTTTCAGAAGGCATCAGCTCTATCAAAGCTAACCACGAATTACACTTACTTTTAAATTACCAGTGCTCACCAGAGCAACTGAGCATCTTTGATCCTGATAAAACAAAATCCTGGATAGTTTTATGTCTCTGACGGCTCCCAAATCTAAACACACGGTTTTCAGCACATTCTGAAATCTGTGAACAAACGTGTCTTACCAGCTTGCATATCAGACGCAAGGCACGACGAACAACCCATTGTATCACTACTATGATCCTCGTTTCAAGTAGGCCCGTTACTCTTGGAATGGAAACCAGCTAATGTACAGACATTTTGCAAGAAACTTATGGCTCCGAGAATTGTCTGTAATGATTTCTGAAGTTATACACGTTTCATATATCTTCTTTGTGTGCGTTGATTTGTGGCTAAGCCTCCAAATAACACTCATTTCATCAAAGCAGTTCCAGCATCACCGGCCTGCTGGTAGCTGAGAGAATTTAGTCCTGGTATGTAAAAATGTATTGTCCCAAAGACTGTGCTTAATCTATCTACGTGGATAAGGTTTTGCAAAATGTGTCAAACAAACTTGTTTTCAAATGGAATTACAATAATACATCACAAGTGCTTGCGAATTTTTCTCTAACACCACTCATTTTACGGTAAGACCATCTATAAACTTTCTGAGGGGACACATCATAACCGATTTAATAGTGGATCAAGTTTGTGTCTGAATGTCTACAGACTTTCCTTGAAAATATCTTTTCTGGGCACCTTTGTACAAATAAATTAAATAAGTGAAAATGGTGGTAACCAAGTGAGAATCGGATTCAGTCCAGAAAATTTTGGAAATCCTGCACTCCTTCTTGGCTCCCTGGATTCCCTATGTCGAAATAAAAAGTGCAGTGATCTAATCATCTACCGCTTCAGCTAGCGGAATCTTGGTAAGCTGTTAAGTCTCTGCGAAAGCATACACAGGAACACTTGTCATCAACCCAAAATCAGTGATAAGTCAGGGAAGTACTTCGGCTGAATATCGGAGGATATGAGCCATTTGGCACAATTCTGATCAGATGACACCATGAATCTACCAACATTCTTCTCGAGTACATATCGGACTAATTTGAGAATAAACACAATCGTTTCTTTAATCCATCAGAAAGCATGGAGGCATCTTAATAAAGCAAGTCCAAATACAAGGTACTAAGTGAGATTTAGGGTATGGTTACTCTTGGTGCCCTGCGGTATGTGAAGTTAAGGGACATTTTCTAAACCGAAAGAGGTATGCACATGGAGCAAAACAGATGAAGACCTTGACGGGTGGCTGAGATAGTTTATTTGTCTGAAGCTTCATAAGTCCAGGAGGGTGAGTCACAATCTGCAGATCACTGTAAACATGAGTCATTATCGTATGAAAAAGCTGGTCGGATAAGATTGTGCTGATAAGCTTAAGATATGAAGTCCCTCAGGATTCTTCAAAACTTTCCAGAACACACAAACGCGGGATACCTATAATAGTTGTGGAAACGCTTGCATCATCATCATCGTCATCATCAAGAGCATGACAGCATTGTTCAACACTGAAGGTTTGGTCCCGTACAACCGTGAGTTATTTGAAAGTCTTGTTGTGAAAAAAAACGAAGAAAAGCGGACGCTAGCACGAAGAAGAAATAGGTGGATAGGCATCTATAGGGGGAGCAAATAGCAAAATAATCTATCAGCCCTACATAAACCTTGTACTTACTTTTGACACTGGAGCCAACCACTCCCCGCGGTTTTACAACTAGTGAATAGATGTTATCTTAATATACAAGCTGTGAGCAACAGTATTTTTCGTAAATAGAAGCTTCAAATCTATGCCTATACATGATCGACGTCATCCTTACGAAATGTTTTGTTTGGCCTTGAACAACTGTAACGTCTTGAACTTAACTCACTTTTCAAAATATATGTCAGAATAATCTTCCGTATCCGGAACTATATTGCCGACAGTGTCTTCAGCCTAATTTTACAAACTAATGGGGTGAAAGTTTGTAAGTGTAAAGCTGATATTCACCGAAGGGATAAACGAAATCCAGGCAAGTGCAGAGTGGTTACCTTCACGTGATTTGCGTGTTTCGAACTCTATCTTTGCCTCTCGACTTTCCATGTATAGGCTTGGGCAACCTGGCAGTATCCCAACCCTCGTGCTTTCTTCTAGGACGTTGCGTTTAAATCAATGGCTAGATCAGGAACGGATTTCATAATGCTTCAGATTTGAGAGGATAAACTCTTGACGGCATCTCAACCTGTGCTGAAATCGAAGGTTATTTGTGGGAAGTCTGAAACTGGGTAAGTAAATATATGCTGAGGCTGTTGACACTAGTGATCAAGCGGATGTTTAATTTGTGGACTTCAGTGAGAGCTTCGACTGGGTGTCTAGGGTGTAGTTTCTATCAAACCGCCGTCTTGGTGTGTAGACAAGAATTGGAAACCCCGGGCCGAGGGTATCATCTTCGAAAGTCGGAGTTCACAAGGACTATTCAGCCTTGGTCACGCACACAAGTGGTGTTTTAGAGGGGTCACTGCTGGAACAAGAAGTGTTTAGGTTTATATATATAATCATTCACCTCACCATATCCTACCTTTCTGCGTGCACGGAAATTCTCTTGATAGGTAGCAGTCCAGCAAAAAACGCATCAGAGTTTTCGCCCCGCTTTCAACTATTTGCTTCGGTGGAAATTCAATTGGGTTATTCCTTATGTGTAGGGATTTTAACCTTTTCAATAGACCTGCAAGCAATTTCAAAGTCTATGAACAGAAATTTACCCAACTCAAAAGGCAGCACTCTGATCCTGTTATCATCTATTAGGAGAACTCGTAAAGAACTCAAACATTTTATCGACTTTGGTAGGCAAGACAGAAGATTTGCACGGAGATCTAGCCAAGTTAGGCGAGACAAATGTGTAAAAATACAGTCCGGTATTTGAAACAGCATATTCTGAGCAAGATACAGCTTCTAGAAGAGTGACTAAATGAAGAATTCAATTACTCTGATGTGAGTTAGATCCAAAACTGATACCGGTATTTCAACCAATCTTAGCTTGCTCAAATTTAATTTCTCGCACAAAAGATCCTCTGCCTTCTTGATCCGTTCCTCGGCAACCACCAAGTTTGGTCTTTCGGATTCGATAGAATGCGTGAAATCACTGGGTTCGGTTGTTTGTGCCATATTTCATGAGTGCATTTTTTTGAAGATTCAATGAAAAAAATAATTATTGTCAAACAGTTCCTTTCAAATTAGCAGAAAACAAGAGTCATGGTTTCCAACCTTGAAATCAAAAATTTGACTCCATAGAACCAGTTTGTTCTGTAGCCCCGCTCTGGGGTGGGCTTCGGGGAACTTACAGAGTGGTAGGGGGATCACTAAGTTTCGTGGCGTTTTGTACCTTTATTTCGTTTCCATTATAACACTACGAATTTTTCAATTGCATAATCGTTTCTTGTTTGATTACGAAAAACTGCAAAAACGCGCACTTGTACAATGTCACGGAGTACAAGCGTAGTCACATGCTTCGGCTCTCTCTTCTGATTTCGCTCGCGCTCGCAGCGGTCATTCGCGAGTACTAACTCTGGTATCAAAACATTTCGGACCATCTTCGTAATCTATTGTATCTAATTGTATCGTAATCTATTATATGTAGGAATAGTTCGGAAGAAGACCCCTGGACCACCATGATTGGATTATTGTTTATTCGCTGACCTGGGCCATCGACGAACTATTTTAGAGAGAACAATTGTTAGTTAGTCTGTTTCATGTGACCTCTTTATTATTGCATACCCAACCTGGCGTTATTATTTTAATTTTTTTGCCACACACTCCTAGTAAACTAACTTGTTGGGTAGCCAGACCACTGCAGCTTCTGCTCTCCATGCCCCAGATATTGGGTGCGGTGAAGTTATCCGACGCCGGATGTGAAACCTAATTCACCGCGTTGCTGAAAGTTTAATTGAGTTGGGATGGAAAGAAATTCCGGGTTTGGAGTCTCTCAGTGGCTTATACAGAAAGGGTCCGGATGCAGAATACATGGCTGCGCCGGCATTCTAATTCCAGCAGTTGATCGTAACATTTTATTCAAACCAATGTAGTGAGAAAGGCGCTATGTATTGATAAAGCTCTTGAAAGCGTGCGAGAAGTTTACTGCTAACATTCTTGGGAAATGAAATATACGTCCAAAAGCATCAGGCAGTGAGCTTTCCCTCAGATTTGGTCGCCCCAATAATTTCTTATCATCCTTAATCATGGGGCTTTCAGCCTGTATGACACGGCATGCAGAGCTCGGTCTCTGGATATTATTCCGGGTTAAGTGTCATCTCTTTGAAGAACCCAAGTGGCTGCTGATTTGACAAGGTCTCCGCAAGGGATTTCGATAACCTCAAGTTACCATGGGGAATGGCTGTTGCATGAAATGCCCGCATTGTTTTCCGTGGAATATCTTGCAAGTTGTAGAAGCTGAGTAGCCGGGCTCGTTTGCTAAGCCTTTGAGGAGAAGGATGAGGTAGTTATCAACATAGAAATGCGGATTTCAATCTGTAGACACCTGAGGGGTCCTTTGGATTTCATTCTGTAAAGCAACGTGTTCTTGGCTCTTCTGAAGGCATAAACAACCCCCGAGGTCACTGGCAAATAATTTGAATGATGACGATAAAGTGGTATGGAAGTTCTTTTAGGGATCAAGAAGGGACAGTGGGCTGTTGTTTGTGAGCCTTATGGTACGCTATGGCGCGTGTGGGGCCTGACATCACTCAAAATAAGCGGCCTAGGTAGAATTCCGTCCACCGCAGCGGTAACCTTCAACCCACAGTGATCTTTTTTATTTTGGAGTGATGTCTAACCATATCGAAAGAATTTTACAGCTCCAGAGGGACATTAGTACATTAATTGAGATGTTACTGATAAGTAAACCTTTGCCTGAAGATACCTCCTATTCATGATGTGCTGCCCCATGTTGCCGTGTTTTGGTGGGGCTTTGCCAGTAATCCACTCAGAGAAGGCATCTTTGCCATGGTTCACCAGCTGGCTGAATAAGACCCCTATATCCTCTAGGACTGGCGTGATAACGGCTAAATCGTCATGTAGGAGAAGCATAACTTAGTATGGTTATTCTGGAATTGCTTTTAATATGAGCTGACAGTCTTCTGCCGAAATGGCAGGTGTCCTGGGACGCATGCTACAGATACATGCTGCTGCATCTTGGCTGATTGATCTGACCCAATTGTTCAACGTCATGCCATTGAGCGCAGCCGCTTCATCGGGTATCACGCAGTTACGGCCTACAGCGCCTTCAAGTTACGTAGGGCGACAATGATGCGGCTTCCAGCTGTTTGACAGGACCTATACAGGTGAATATCCCAGGGTTATTTTCGAGAAAACTCGTTATCTCTTTACTGTCCTGGACACCACACCTGGTCAACATACAAAAAACTTTACTTCACGTCATACACTACCCATCACTCCGAAAGAATCGCCGTGCACTGCCATCAGATTTGTCTCCTCATACTATCTTACTCCCGACCTAAAGCTGCCACCTTGACGTGGTGGTCGGGTTTCAGTGCTGCAATGATCCCGCCGGCTACACTGACACGATTGCGTCGGAGATATGTCAACGCATCGAATGTCGGCACCAGGTCATAGTATTCAACGCACCTGATCGAACTCCACTTGAGCACACCAAAACTGCCATCTTGACAGCATGTGGCATCCTGGATACCATGTGCACAGCTAGGCGGCTCCGAAAGTGGAAACCATCCACGTGCTGCCCGATAATAATGCAATTCCGGGAAAAAAATGCTGCGCGTCTGCTAACAACCCGGACTCTTTAAAACTTAAAGCTGCTCGTACAAGAATGCAAAGACAGCTTACCAAAAAGTCACCAGAACCTGTTGCACCATCACTCACCAGTACTTGCGCTGACAAGTGCCACAATGCCACACAAAGCTGTCTGTTGGACCCAGGTCCTGTACCCCACGCTCATGACCATGAGCCCTCCACTCCTATCTCTGGGCATCCACAAATGTTATCCCCGACCTCCACCACGCCAACGTGATCGGCTGCTGATTTAGGAGATATGGTAACTAATCAGCCCACACATGAGGCTGTGGTGAAGAATGATAGCACAGCTTCTCACTCTAGACCTCCTGACCTGATGACACTTCGTGTCTCCCTACCAAAGCGCTTCCTTGGACTCAAGCACCTGCTATCCAGGCCTCGCACCATAACAACTTCTCCTGTACCAACTCCTCGAGCTTCTGCTCTTCGCCCTTCTACAAACCTGACAAAACCCGTAATTCCCCCCCATAATTCCCCTCTAGCCGTGCAACTCGATTCCCTGGCAGGGTCTCTAAACCACAACTACCGTTACGTAATCCTAGACCCTATCAAGTTCCGCCCCTCTTGAAACCTGGGATCCCTTTTCAGCAACTACCTACTCCACCACAGCCTCCGCCCCCTCCGCAGCCACCTCTACGACCTTTAGCTATATCTCGACTTCCTACTCCAAACCACTTTCAACTGCAGCCAACGCAGAGGGTCCTGCTCACTCCCAACGGAGCTCACCCCTCCCAGAGAGTTTGATTATACCACTAACTTCCTCACCACACCATGTCCCCTCTCCTCACCTTGCATCTCTTACCATGAACCTCTTATTCCATCTCCCTCAATCAGCCCAGTTTGGTTACCCGTTTCCTCCGCCCCTTACGATTCGATGCTGGAGGCTCTACAAAATAGATCCACCCGACCTCTCGATGCCCCTGTCTTACCCTCTTATTTCCTGTCTCTTATACACCTCTCCTGCCCTTCCTCCCGCACGACCTAAATCCCCCTGTTTCTGTCGAGCTACCACACACGGTACCACTTCCTGACTACGTCGATTACGTCATTACAAACGATCGCCCGACCCAGCCTGTTACTCTTTGTCCATGGAGCTCCTCCTCCCAAAATCAGTCCGTACCCTATACTGAGCATGACCCAGTACCTCCTGCCGTGGGTTCAAACCTATTCCAACTACGATTTACCCATTTACAAACAGTACTGATTACTCCCTCCCAGACTCCGGACCCCGTTTCATATAACCTAACCACCAGGTACCTAGTCCTCCCAATGAAGAACCCCACCGTAAGTGAGGTTACAAAGTTTCTACCTCTGCTCGCCAATGAGCTTGTCAATAATGTTATTCAATGCCCGCTCATTACTGCTCAAAATCCATAATCATCGAGCGATTGGAGCCATTGCACGACCGAGTATTATCTGTGTGACTGAAACATGGCTCACAGATGAAACTCCTGCCTAGGCCATCTGAATCCCTGGCTATGATACTTACCGCTCCGATAGGAAAAACTCAGAGGGCGGTGGCTGTGCCATCTATTCCAAGTCAGAATTTTGTGCAACCCCATTTAGCGAATCTTCTCTGGAAGGGATTCCAGAGACCATTTGGTTATCCATAGAACAGACCTGTACTAGTAGGTTGTATCTATTTACCACCTGCCCCCTCCCCCGCCTCTATTGCTGATCTTTTCCGTATTATCTCCACTGCGCATGCAGACAGTGGTCCCATCACTGATCCTGTCAACATAGCAGACCATTTAAATGCTTACTTCGCCAGCTGCTACTCACCCTTTACTCCCAACACCAAATCCATACCCAGAGCTGTTCACCTCCAAAGTGTGAACGGCCAGGACAACCATCCCACTATCAGTAACGTAACCATCTCCCTAGCTGATGTTTCTTCCCTTCTTCTGAAGATTAAGGACTTTGTTGTGCCAGGGGCCGACGGCCTTCCATACCGTATCCTGAAACAGGGCGGCCAAGATATCGGAATCCTTGTATTAAATCTTTTCATCCACTCTTTAAACTATGGAAGCGTCCCCTGCCGGTGGAAGAAATCCATAATCCACACGCACTTTAAATCCGGATGTAGACAAACTCCTTCCAACTACAGGGAATCCACCATACCTCCGTCCTACTGAGAACCCTTGAACGTCTGGTCAAAGGCCCGGTAATCGGGTTTCTCCTAGCTACAAACGCCATAGATGACCGACAGTACGGATTCTTATCTCAAAGATCCGTAAATGGCTGCAAGCTTCACTTCTCTGAGACCGTCAAAGCAGCCTACGACGCTGGATACTCCATTGTAACATTCTATCTGGAAATCCAAATAGCCGTCAACCAGGTCCCCCACGCCTCGCTGCTATACAAACTTAGTACCGTGGGCATCAATGGAACCTTATTTCAGTGCCTCGCCTCCTACTCATCAGAC